GCTAAAGTGGTAAAATTACTCTCTTTACCCCCAAAACTTAGATGGAAAAAACCCACATTTGCCGAGTTACATAATTATATCATAATTATTACAACATTTAACAATATTTATAGTTTTTATCAATAAATGTTATCTAACCAATCTTAGATAAATGACTGCTGACATAAATTATGATTTCTTTTTCATTTAGTTTGAATACACAGACATTTGTTAGCATATTATATGGTATAGAAACTGCATAAAACTCTTGGTCACTACAGTAATAATAAGTTTAAAGTTACATAATTTATATATCATTAATTTAGAAACTTACATTATTTTTGTACGCACATTACTTTGTACAGAAATAAATAATATTCACAATGTTTAAACAAGACTTAGAGTGCCATGATGGCACCTGCTTACATGTTATACATGAACAAGATATCATTATAAAAGCATTAGTATTAATAGCTAAAAGCCCTATACAAAACTGGTGGCCATTTTGTTCAGCAGACCAGAACTATTTAAGTGAAATCTATAGAGGCCCAAAAAAATTATTTGTGTAATACAATTTTATCAAAACACCAAACGATGCCGTTTAAAGGTTTTTCTATTTTCAGATCTGGTGGCCATCTTGTTCAGCAGCCTGGAACAATTTTAACAACTTAAGTAGAGGACTGCCAAATGATCTTTTCTGTAAAGTTTCTTCAAAATCATTAGATGACCGAGGACAAGATGTCAACTAACACTTTTTTTCTCTTTTTAGCAATGGCAGCCATCTTGTTCAACAGACCAGAACCATTCTAGCATTTTTTGTAAAGGACTGAACCATTCTAGCATTTTTTTGTTAAGGACTGAACCATTTGAGCATTTTTTTTGTAAAGGACTAGGACTACATATTGATCTGTATAGTTTCATCAAAATGGTTAAGGAGGAGATATTGTTTTAAGATACGTTTCCAATTTTTAGATTTGGCAAGTTGGACCATCTTGTGCAGTACACCAAACCAATTGAGCAGTTTTTGCTGAGGACTATCATTCCTGTATAGTATCAACAGTACAGGTGGAGCCGGGTTAAGGAGATATTGTATAAAAACTGTTAGATGATGAATGAGAATTGGTAACACTGTAGTAAAGAGGTTATTGCTCACGATGGAGAATTGATAATGCAGTAGTAAAGAGGCTATTGCCTTCAAGGAGAACTGATACTGCTGTAGTAAAGGGGCTATTGCCTTCAAGTAGACCTGATACTGCTGTAGTAAAAAGGTTATTGCCCTCGAGAAGAATTGACACTGCTGTAGTAAACCGGTTATTGCCCTTGAGGAGAACTGTTACTGCTGTACTAAAGGGGCTATGGCCCTCGAAGAAAGTTGATAATGCTTTAGTACAGAGGTTTTTGCCTTTGAGAAGAACTGATACTGCTGTAGTAAAGGGGCTATTGCCCTCGAGAACAGTTGATACTGCTGTAGTAAACAGGTCATTGCCTTTAAGGAGAACTGATACTGCTGTAGTAAACAGGTAATTGCCCTTGAGGAGAACTGATACTGCTGTAGTAAACAGGTCATTGCCTTTGAGGAGAACTGATACTGCTGTAGTAAACAGGTCATTGCCCTTGAAGAGAACTGATACTGCTGTAGTAAAGAGGTTTTTGCCCTCGAGAAGAACTGATAATGCTTTAGTCCAGAGGTTATTGCCCATGAGGAGAACTGAAACTGCTGTAGTAAAGAGGTTGCACTGTACTAGACTTTTTTTTAATTCATATAATGAGTAGGTACATTAGTACTTCTAGAGTGAAAGATCTTACAATCATACATGTAGTGTTGTAACTACGGTAATCACCTATCATTTATACTACATGTAAAAGTATATATACTGTTATTATCACATAAACATTGGTGCAGGAGTGTAATAAAGCCATTAATTTAATAAAAACAATATTCGTAACACTAGTGTCATAACAAATGGACGTGAATAATTCTACTACACCCTTAGTACTGATGCAGCTCTGGACGTGATATCACTTGCATTATAATTATATAAACAAAGCATTAAAGTGCATTAATGTTAGGTTAACACTTTAGTCAATGTAAAAATGACACTTTTCAACAGTTTACTGTTCTTATTCTATATACAATGTATGTGATACATAGAATATTACACTTATGTAGATTCAATAATAAATTTATTAAACTCGATTAATAAAAAATATTATGCTAGCCTGAGGCTCGCATAATGTGATTTTATTCAACTTGTTCAATAAATTTTAGTCTTAAACCTAAACTCATTCAATATCCTCTATTTACATGTACTTTGATTATACACCCTGATCAAAAGATATTATAAAATGAAAACCATAGATTTTTTAACAGAAGTCCATGTTTCATGTATGTCATACAGAAATTAAATGATCAGGGTTATTTTCAATTTTATTCTTAAAACTAGCTACAAATACTGGTACAATATGATAGGGCTTGAAGTATAAAGCTTGAATATGTATACTGGGATCCTTCATATTTACTGGACAATCAGTTTACCGGACAATATCTATTTCTGCTTAATAGTGCTTTATTTTTTGATTTGATTCAAAAATCATCTGGTCTGAATTGTACACACACTTTCTTTTTCAAAGTAAATAACAACAAAACCGCTCTCAGGAAAATATTGTTGATACGGTTCTTTATTTACTAACATGCCATTTTGTTTACTAGTTATTTCATGACCTGGTCATGCACGGGAATAATTTGTTCTGCGCATATCCGAATATTGAGGCCATTAATGGGTTTTTTTAGATAAGTTTTACTTTTTATTCTTTTAAACGTTATCTCAGGAGACAATCGTGGCATATTTTAATGATTAAAAATAATTTTAAATTTAGTCTCAACGGTATCTCTTTGTTGTAGTTTACAAAGAAATGCAAATTAAATCAAAGCACAGAAGGCGCTGAATTTGTTTGGGTCTCAGAATGTCAGAAAGGTGAAGGTTGTGAGATTATAAAACACTTTGTTTTTGTATAGGCCAATGCTTTCCAGCGTTTTAATTGTAGTAAATTGGCTATAAGACTAATTGCAACACTGATATTCATTCCAAATGTTTTTTTGACTTAAACAATTTAAAAAACAAGAGGGCCATGATGGCCCTGGATCGCTCACCTGACACAACCGCATCCACGCAATGTCTTAAACAAGCATCATGGCCAAGTTTGATGACAACTGAGTCAAACATGTGACCTCTGGCTCTAGTGTGTTATAAAGATTTTTCCATATTTGGGCAATGTGGCCTAATTTTTGACCGGACACGACCCATCTTCGAACTTGACCTAGAAATCATCTAAACAACTTTCCTGACAAATTTCCAGAATATTTGGATGAAAACTGCAGCCACCAGAGTGTTAACAAGCTTTTTCTATTTTTAGCTCCTGTGACCTAGAGATGACCCATCTTCGAACTTGACCTTGATATCATCAAAACAACCTTCCTGACAAATTTCCAGAATATTTGGATGAAAACTGCAGCCACTAGAGTGTTAACAAGCTTTTTCTATTTTTAGCTTCTGTGACCTAGTTTTTGACCAGAGATGACCCATCTTCGAACTTGACCTAGATATCATCAAAAAACCTTCCTGACAAATTTCCAGAATATTTAGATGAAAACTGCAGCCACAAGAGTGTTAACAAGCTTTATCTATTTTTAGCTCCTGTGACCTAGTTTTTGACCGGAGATGACCCATCTTAGAACTTGACCTTGATATCATCAAAACAACCTTCCTGACAAATTTCCAGAATATTTGGATGAAAACTGCAGCCACTAGAGTGTTAACAAGCTTTTTCTACTTTTAGCTCCTGTGACCTAGTTTTAGACCGAAGATGACCCATCTTCGAACTTGACCTAGAAATCATCAAAACAACTTTCCTGACAAATTTCCAGAATATTTGGATGAAAACTGCAGCCACCAGAGTGTTAACAAGCTTTTTCTATTTTTAGCTCTTGTGACCTAGTTTTTGACCCGAGATGACCCATCTTCGAACTTGACCTAGATATTATTAAAACAACCTTCCTGACAAATTTCCAGAATATTTGGATGAAATCTGCAGCCTCTAGAGTGTTAACAAGATTTTTCTATTTTTAGCTCCTGTGACCTAGTTTTTGACCCGAGATAACCCATCTTCGAACTCAATCTGTATTTCATTGACACAAACATTCTGACAAAGTTTGATGATGATCCAATCAAAACTGTGACTGCTAGACTGTTAACAACCCAATTGTTAGAGTGTTAACAAGCTTTTTCTATTTTTAGCTCCTGTGACCTAGTTTTTGACCGGAGATGACCCATCTTCGAACTTGACCTAGATATCATCAAAAACATTGTTCCTGACAAATTTCCAGAATATTTAGATGAAAACTGCAGCCACTAGAGTGTTAACAAGCTTTTTCTATTTTTAGCTCCTGTGACCTAGTTTTTGACCGAAGATGACCCATCTTTGAACTTGGCCTAGAAATCATCAAAACAACTTTCCTGACAAATTTCCAGAATATTTGGATGAAAACTGCAGCCACCAGAGTGTTAACAAGCTTTTTCTATTTTTAGCTCCTGTGACCTAGTTTTTGACCCGAGATGACCCATCTTCGAACTTGACCTAGATATTATTAAAACAACTTTCCTGACAAACTTCCAGAATTTTTGGATGAAATCTGCAGCCTCTAGAGAGTTAACAAGCTTTTTCTATTTTTAGCTCCTGTGACCTAGTTTTTGACCTGAGATAACCCATCTTCGAACTCGATCTGTATTTCATTGAGACAAACATTCTGACAAAGCTTGATGATCATCCAATCAAAACTGTGACTGCTAGACTGTTAGCAACCCAATTGTTAGAGTGTTAATTAACAAGCTTTTTTTATTTTTAGCTCCTGTGACCTAGTTTTTGACCGGAGATGACCCATCTTCGAACTTGACCTAGATATCATCAAAACAACCTTCCTGACAAATTTCCAGAATATTTGGATGAAAACTGCAGCCTCTAGAGTGTTAACAAGCTTTTTCTATTTTTAGCTCCTGTGACCTAGTTTTTGACCCGAGATAACCAATCTTCGAACTCGATCTGTATTTCATTGAGACAAACATTCTGACAAAGTTTGATGATGATCCAATCAAAACTGTGACTACTAGACTGTTAACAACCCAATTGTTGACGCGAACGACGAACGACGCGGGACAAAGCCCCATCACTATACCTCACCATGACCACTTAGTGGTCAGGTGAGCTAAAAAGAATGAGTTACCTTAACTGGGATTTGAACTCCAGACCTTTCGCTTCCTAAGCGAGCGCGCTAACCCCTCGGCCACGGTGAATTTATATGTTATTGGCCTGAGGAAAACCTTATTATTCTAAATTAGGGTTTGTAACGACACTAACTATTGTTTAACACTTGTGTAAATAATCATGGCGCATACTATAAGCATGTATATCTATAAAGAATAAAACATTATTAGAAATCTTCGACCATTCGGGAATTATTTTGCTTGAAAATTAATGCACCTGTCATGTGACCATAATTACGCAGTGATCTCCCCTGAATTTTTCGGCCTAAGTGTTACATATAAAGGGAAGTAACCGCTTCAAAAAAGCGGACTACTTTCGGCATTTGCAATTAACAGCAATAGAGTCTGAAATTTCGCTACCATTATTTGTTTGGTCTGACAACCCAAACAAATAAAAACACATAAGGAAATGGGTTACGCCCATGGGAGGAAACTCTACATAAAATGTAAATAAAATAAACTTTATGGATTTTGTAACATGCTACATGATGACCAAAAAGAAACTGTATGACAAAGAACAGAATTCCATTTGAATATCTAATTGTTTCATATGTTTAAGATTCATGAAGAATATAATTACGTTAATTGAGTTAATAGTGTTAATTTCATTTACAACCCATATATTGGCCTCTTCGTAACAAGCATGGCTGCCGTGTCTAGTTTTAGTCACATACTGTTTTTTTCCAATATCTTTACCTTGCCTTTCAATAGTCGAAGTTTCCTTGCTGATTTTTTAAAGATTAATTTCAATTCACGACTTCAAAAAATTTTGAAAGGTAATGTCTGGTAAATTGAGCTGTCTGCACGATTTTTTCTCTCTTATAATGCCCTACTTTAAAAACACATTTCTATGGTCAAATGTTTAATTTCATTTTTTATAAAGGAACGTTTACATGTATTAAGAACCCAAAATTATTTGGGTAAAATACATTCTTTTTTTTTATTATTTTAAACAAAATTTACAGCGAAAAAACATCATAAATAATTTTGTCTGGTAACATGTAGAATCTCAGTAATGTAGAAGCAGTGTGAAATTTACCTATGACATCTTCTATTTCAGCTATTGTAACAAAAATAAATAAATGAGTAAATTAATAAATAAATAAAGAAAGAATGAATGAATTAAATTAACATTTTAAATAATCAAATTTCACAAAACTATTATAGCCTATTTACAAATGTTCAGTGCATTGATTTCAATTGAATGCAATGATATATGACATTTAACCCTTTCCCCCATGAGCATATTGTGAAAAATGGCCGTTTTCACTGAAAAGCCTCCTGTTACAAGTTCAACCTGCTATGAAACTATGAAAAATGCTTCAATACTAATCAAACTTGGCACAAATGTTGACTGGACCATTGCCTTTGTAACGACATGCTCAGTCTTAAATTTCCTGTTACCATGGCAACGAGGGGACATCTCAAAATTGCCAAAAATCACTATTTTGCCTCGATTTTTTCCATCAAAATTTATTTCAAAGTGCTTCAACTGCTCAAGGGATTGAGATAGAGTCAAAGGCTTTTCAGCGTTGGTTAAACGTTACATTATGATCGACCTGGGGTCATTTTTAGCCTCTCACAAGTCCAAAATTTTCTTGGCGATGAGGGGGACTCCGCCCCCCTTCAAACCCCCCCTAACACAAGGGGGCACATCCCCCTTCTGGCAACCCCCTGATGTGTCTTTTGGATGGGGGGCGGCGCCGAAAAAGTGCTCAATTTTTTAAGCAACATTTCTCAAACGAAAACTTATGTTTGGGGCCAAAATAGGACATTTTTTCACTATTTGAGGCCTAAAAAAGGGGGGGGGGGTCGAAAGTGTGTTGTTTCGCGTATATATGTGGTAAAGGGTTAACGAACATAGAAAATACAAGATGTTTTAGTTACAAAACTAAAAACTTCTCAATTTGCACAAATGACTGCTCATATTGTCTCAATTATTAATAATTTATACATAACATAGTGTCTTAATTTGAAATTTTACAAAGCAAAACTTTGATAATCTAAATAACAATGTATAATATTATGGTTTTATCATTACTTTTGACCATTTCTATGTTGCTAAATATATAAAGCTGAAACAAGTTCACGCTAAAAATGATGTGATTTAACATTCGGCCATGAAGAAAACAGATGACATATGCTGCAACAGAACATTGAAATAAGATTAGTCATATCTGTTCATGTTGCGGTTTGGACTGGAATATCTGTCCGGAGGGTTACCCCGCCCATTGGGCGGTAAGAGGCTTGCTGTGTTGCTACCATTGGGTAGGTACCTGAGGGATGAACCGCAAACACAAGTCAGATATTCTATAAACATGATAAAATGCGCTAAAATGGCATCATTTTAAAGCATGTGCTTCTCTGACCTGACACCCCCATGCTAGATCAAAATTCCAGCATGTGAAAAACAGAAAGACCAGTCTGACAAGAAAATTCAAAATTATCTCTTGTAAATGGCCGAATGACTGACTGATAAAGATAGTTTGATTTATTATCAAATTATGATCACGACTAACATTGGTTTTGAATCTCAATGAATCACTATGACATGAATGTGAAGATTGCAAACAATAAGCAGTCCATCTCATTTAAGCTAAAACAATCTCTTAAACACTGTTATTAGTTTAGATAAAGAATAAATGAATAAAATACAAACCTGCATCTCTTTTTCTATCACAAGCAGATTTAAACGCCTCTAAAGTTGCATTATCTGCATGATATATCACAAACTTGACATCTCTTACAGAGGAATTTGGATTATTCATGTTGAATTTCTCAACTCCAGCAAACATCGTCTTTGCAACATATTCTTTACTGTAGTTGAGGTAACCAGTACCAAGTGCCGGAAATGCCAATGAAGAGAAGCCTGAATTTGTCGATTCTTGCAAACATTTCAACACAATCTTTTGTGGAGCCTTAAATAAATCATAACATTGATACATTTTATCATTGTATTTGTTTTAATGGATAAATCTTCATTATATTGTTTCAAAGTATTGTTTACAGTCGATCCACTGAGGTATGCACTCATCTTCATGTTCTAAACATTCATGTAACAATCAGTCATGTACATTCATATAGTGGTCATGTACATTCATGTAGTGATCAGATTCAATGATCATGTCCATTCATGTAATGGTCAGGTACATTCATGTAATGGTCATGTACATTCATGTAATAGTCAGGTACATTTATGTAATGGTCATGTACATTCATGTAATAGCCAGGTACTTTCATGTAATGGTCATGTACATTCATGTAATAGTCAGGTATGTTCATGTAATAGGCAGGTACATTCATGTAATGGTCATGTACATTCATGTAATAGTCAGGTACGTTCATGTAATGGTCATGTACATACATGTAATAGTCAGGTACGTTCATGTAATGGTCAGACACAATGATTATGCACATTCATGTAATAGTCAGGTACATTCATGTAATGGTCATGTACATTCATGTAATATTCGGGTACATTCATGTAATAGTCGGGTACATTCATGTAATGGTCATGTACATTCATGTAATAGTCGGGTACATTCATGTAATGCTCATGTACATTCATGTAATAGTCAGGTACATTTATGTAATGGTCATGTACATTCATGTAATAGTCAGGTACATTCATGTAATAGTCAGGTACATTCATGTAATGGTCAATTACATTCATGTTATAGTCAGGTACGTTCATGTAATGGTCAGGTACATTCATGTAATGGTCAGGTACATTCATGTAATGGTCAGGTACATTCATGTAATGGTCAGGTACATTCATGTAATGGTCAGGTACATTCATGTAATGGTCATGTACATTCATGTAATAGTCAGGTACATTTATGTAATGGTCATGTACATTCATGTAATAGTCAGGTACATTCATGTAATAGTCAGGTACATTCATGTAATGGTCATATACATTCATGTAATAGTCAGGTACATTTATGTAATGGTCATGTACATTCATGTAATAGTCAGGTATATTCATGTAATGGTCAGGTACATTCATGTAATGGTCAGGTACATTCATGTAATAGTCAGGTACATTCATGTAATGGTCAATTACATTCATGTTATAGTCAGGTACGTTCATGTAATGGTCAGGTACATTCATGTAATGGTCAGGTACATTCATGTACTGGTCAGGTATATTCATGTAATGGTCAGGTACATTCATGTAATGGTCAGGTACATTCATGTAATGGTCAGGTACATTCATGTAATAGTCAGGTACATTCATGTAATGGTCAATTACATTCATGTTATAGTCAGGTATGTTCATGTAATGGTCATGTACATTCATGTAATGGTCAGGTACATTCATGTGGTGATCAGACACAAAGGCCTGGTACAATCATGTAATGGTCAGGCACATTCATGCAATGGTCACCTGCAGGTTCATTTATATAATGGTTAGACACATTCATGTAATGGTCAGGCATATTCATGGTCAGGTACATTGATGTAATGATCAGACAAATACTTGTTATGATCAGGGACATACATAAAATGATCAACAATCACTTTGAAAACAAAGAATGATGTAAACTTCACGTTTTTCATCAACATTCTCATTCATAAACATGTATACATATAGAAATGTAAAATTCCAAAGATCTGTTTTTATAAAAGTTAAAAAAGTGATAGAGCAAAATTTATCAAGAGTGATTTATTTCATCATAAGAAATACCATTTTGTTTTTGCCACCATTCCACGGAGGCAAATATGAGTGATATATCTTTTTGCACTGTAAACTTCCTCCTGATGTAACTGCAATGTCACCTTCAGAGATACCGTTTCTATATTTAGATTTGCATTCCTCCTGTATAGATTTACCTCCCTTTTTCACCAGAGATTTCGAGACCGCTCCATCATTCAGGTCAAGGGTTTTGGTTGTGCTGCTTACAATTACATCCACCTAACGAACAGTTAGTTATAAATGTACATGGAAATAAAGCACACAATATATTCTTAAGTGTTTTGAGAAGAATTACAAATGTATATAAGTCATTTTGGTCTATTACTATATGTAATTTGGCACTTTAATATTCTTATTGTCATAAATTTGTAACTTTTTGGTATATAACTTAAAATAGCAACTTCACCTTTGTTTAAAACATTGTACCATGCATTTTATCAGATAAAATAATGAATTACTATTATTACACTCAGTAAAATGAAATCTTGAACACTGCAACAAAGATAATTAAGTACATGTAATATCATTGTTTTGAATAAATACAAGGCAATTTTCACTTATATCACTACTAAACAAGTACCTTGTGATCATTATATATTAATCATCCTGTAATTTATATTTTACATGAATGGTAATCTGTAAGAGAATCCTTGTTACAATGTGTATGACCTAATTTAGACAGATTAATTTTGGTGATTGCTATTATATTGGTATTTCTTGCTTCTCATAAAATGAAATAGAAGTGTAATATGTTATCTGTGAGAGCTATCATAATACAAGTTACACTTTTTATCTATTCTTTTATAAATTTATCAGATTTATCAGTTAACCTTAAGCACAGTAAAATGTTTTGTATTGACAAACAGAGACTAATATAATTTTAACAATAAAATAATGCATGGAATAATCTACATGTATCTCCAGTAATGTGAAACCCCTAACCTGACATAGACATATCCTTGTGAAACCCCTAACCTGACATAGACATATCCTTGTGAAACCCCTAGCCAGGACATAGACATGTCCTTGTGAAACCCCTAGCCAGGACATAGACATGTCCTTGTGAAACCCCTAGCCAGGACATAGACATGTCCTTGTGAAACCCATAACCTGACATAGACATGTCCTTGTGAAACCCCTAGCCAGGACATAGACATGTTCATGTGAAACCCCTAGCCAGGACATAGACATGTCCTTGTGAAACCCCTAGCCAGGACATAGACATGTCCTTGTGAAACCCCTAGCCAGGACATAGACATGTTCTTGTGAAACCCCTAGCCAGGACATAGACATGTCCTTGTGAAACCCCTAGCCAGGACATAGACATGTCCTTGTGAAACCCCTAGCCAGGACATAGACATGTCCTTGTGAAACCCCTAGCCAGGACATAGACATGTAATTGTGAAACCCCTAGCCAGGACATAGACATGTCCTTGTGAAACCCCTAGCCAGGACATAGACATGTCCTTGTGAAACCCCTAACCTGACATAGACATATCCTTGTGAAACCCCTAGCCAGGACATAGACATGTCCTTGTGAAACCCCTAGCCAGGACATAGACATGTCCTTGTGAAACCCCTAGCCAGGACATAGACATGTCCTTGTGAAACCCCTAGCCAGGACATAGACATGTCCTTGTGAAACCCCTAACCTGACATAGACATGTCCTTGTGAAACCCCTAGCCAGGACATAGACATGTCCTTGTGAAACCCCTAACCTGACATAGACATGTCCTTGTGAAACCCCTAGCCAGGACATAGACATGTCCTTGTGAAACCCCTAGCCAGGACATAGACATGTCCTTGTGAAACCCCTAGCCAGGACATAGACATGTCCTTGTGAAACCCCTAGCCAGGACATAGACATGTCCTTGTGAAACCCCTAGCCAGGACATAGACATGTCCTTGTGAAACCCCTAGCCAGGACATAGACATGTCCTTGTGAAACCCCTAACCTGACATAGACATGTCCTTGTGAAACCCCTAGCCAGGACATACACATGTCCTTGTGAAACCCCTAGCCAGGACATAGACATGTCACTGTAAGTTTACCTTTTGATCAGCAATTTCACCCTGAACAACTGTAACTTTGATATTTCCGTATGTTCGTGACCTCTCTGCACTACTGTCATCTAAAATATTGATGTTTACTTTATAATTGAATTTAAAACAAACATGATATATTTATATAATTGCATCATTAATCTTTCAAAGAAATAAAAGATTTAGTCACCAAGTAATGTCAGCATCATTGAAATCAAATACAAACATGTCTGAAATATTTAACTTGTTACATCACAAATATTTTAGTCATACAAACAACATAAAAATTCTATACAAATTTTTCATAATATCATATAGATATACACAGAGTCAATAATTATTTAAATGATTGTTCTGATATTAAGAGGATATTTTTTTTGTTTGAGTGAAATATGGAACATATTTTCACGAAACATGATAAAATGCCACATACTGTATTTTCACGAGCCAGAAGGTCGAGTGAAAATATGTGGCATTTTATCATGCTGAGTGAAAATATATACATATTTCACGAAAAACCAAAAAATAACCTTTTTATTTAATTTCATTATCAAAGAAAAATGGTTACGAATGCCCTTGCTCAGTGATATAGCATGGGTAAAATTGAATAAAAAGTAATATTTACCATCAAAAATGCTACCAAAGTCTACACCTGTAGCCTCATCACTACCATCACTATCATCACTATCATCAGAACTTGATGAAATATTCATGACTGGCACATCATCAATAAATTGCGACATAGCTAAAACAAGTTCCTCTTCACTATCACTGTAAGACATAATGCTCACCTTAAATTAATATATTTTATTTCACACTTACATGTACCAGCTCTATTTAGGTTTGAGTCTTGCTAATTGTTAACTTTTTAACATATAAACACTCTCTAAGTTGTTAAAACTCTCACATGACGTTCTTAATATACCTTTAATATACATTTGGCCGGTTCTTTAAAGAAATATCTGTTAGTTAATTGTTACAACTAAATCGAAAGTAGATTAACTAGTTTCCTATTGTGTGCTTATGGAAATCGAAAGTAAAAGTAAACCATAGTAGTATAAAAGTATCTACGTTTACTTGAAACGAAGATCACATATTAATTACCTTGTGAATAAATTTCCCAGTAGCAACACATTTAATTAATCATTACATTATCTTTTTAAAAAGTACGGGAATTCCCAGATTTCCCACAATATTTTTTTTTGCGCATGCTCAAGCATTCGGATCTTCTCGGCTCTTTCCGTGAAACTTCGGATATTAATGATAAATGATAGACCCTACTAGATGACCTTTTATTTGAATAACAATAGCTTTAACCACAAACATTGACAGTATCCATAAAAACATATTACGCTGTTTCAGGCAAATATTTGCCGATAACTTTTCATTTGATTGTACATAGCTGTTTTGTAGTTTTCCCGTTTTCGATAGGTCTACGCAGGGTCTTTCAAATAGATCAGAAAGACCCTGGTCTACGATAGAAATCATGCAATTACTTTTGATTTGTCCACAGGAACTTGAAATTCTATCAATATTAGGGCCTAATGATAATATCCAAAATAAACCCCCTATACAGTATAAATAAATGTCTGTGGACACCACCTAGCAGGGTTAGCATACTGGTATATATATATATACTGGTATATATATATATATATATACCTTGGCCAAAGCTTGATTCTGACATATTTTCGTTCTGGGGCAGAATCTCCCTTTAAGAGGCGAGATATTGCCCAGACACGAAAATAACAATATCTCGTCGCGCAGTACAATTAGTTGGACTACCTTGCCCGGGTGTTCGTGTAAAACTTTTTATGCCGATGTCTTACCAATGCTGAATAGCTATATATAGCTCTTCATGCTCATTAAAATGTATTCGACGGTCTTTGTTGACAAAAGCTTCAACATTTGATACCATTGCTGGGGACACCGCCTCAATTATTGAATTTTTGTTTGTGTCATAAATTGATATTCAATTTAGACTTTCAAGTATGTTAAATATAAACAATTAAGCATTGCCATGATATACAAATGTATATTCCATAACTTTTTTAAATCTAAGTGTAATGTTCGGTCATTGACTGTTAAATAATTGAGATATTTAGGATCTTACTTTCTTGGTGATAATCAAAATAGTAATATTGAAAAAGTATTTAAATGCTATCAATGGATGTTGACAATAGATATCAAAATCTGTTAGGCGAGAAGTTTAAACAAAAACATCTGGCAATAGAAAGTAAGAATAGGCACTATGAATATGATTGTTATGAAAACCATATATGTATGCTTCAGATTTGTTTCTGTTATAATAATCCTATAATAGATCTAGATGACGTCACAATGACACCCTGTTTATAGTTTAAGTGGTTCAGATAAGGTTACAAAAGACCAGTTTATATGTGTGGATATTAGAAAAATCTTCATCAGTATTCCATTGGCACACGGAAGATAAAGTAAATCGCGATCATTTAAAAGGTAATTTTTCATTCATATTTTATGTATACTCCAATTATTTAAACCGCTTGTTTGAACTTATAAACATATTTACGTGGAAAACAATCACAACTTCAATCTATATGAAAATATCTTTTAGGTTCAAATAGTGTTTAATGCCAGGGAATGAACGTTCCTGATAATACATAGATAATTACATAAAAGATTAACATTAGCATTATATTAATTAATTGTATATTTACACACACACGCACACACGCACGCACGCGCGCGCGCACACACACACACACATTTAATTTAACTTTTAAGTCCATATATTTTTTGCTATATACCGTACATTTATTAATTAGATATTAATTAATATATGTTAATATATAAGATCAAGTTTAATCGATATATATGAGAACTATATGCGCTGGGATTGACAAACATAAGGTGAACCTTGGATTTATATTGTAATATAAATCCGTTTGAACCAAGCAATTTATTTGGATTTTAAGGCTATTCGACCTCCACACCCATTCTTTTCTTGATTTATTTACTATTATTTTTAGTTGGTTGTGTTTTATGTACGATAGTTTCCTATAACATTTAAAAGTTATCCCGAATGAAAATTACAGTTCGATTGACAATAAGTTGTATCTACTAAATATACGTTATTATTACAAAATAATGCAAGATTGTGGTTATTTTGTTATTATTTGTCATTCAATGCCTTATCAGTAACATCTCAACAAATATGTAAATCATATTTATGAGTCATTTTCAAAATAATACGCTTTTAACCCAATTTAGAATAATAATATAATGTTCATTTTTCAGGCATTAAAAATACAACAACAACAACATAAAAACAAAGTGATGGCAACTGGAAAAGGCGGACAACACAAGAATGTTATTGAATCTGAGATCGACAATGAAGATGTCTTAAATCCCCTTTCCGATATTGATTATCTTCACTACGAGCTTGCTAGTGTACACAGGAAGCTTGAAGTTATGCATTTAGCACTGGAGAAATCTCGCCAGGATCACAAGCATGCTATTGAATCAAAGGACAAGGATGTACATAACCTAAGAGAAAAGATAAATGACATGCAGGAACTTGTGGACCGATTAAAGTCTGAAAAGGAGAGACTGTTATCAAAAATAAATCTTCGTGAGATAGATATGGCCGATATGAAGAGAGAGATTGACAACTTAAAACTGCAGCTTCAAGAGGCTGAGACAAAATCAAAGAAGCGTGAAGAAGACATTGCTTTTCTCATTGCACAAGAGCAAACAATAAAAGAAGAAATCAAATGTGAACTTAAAGAAGAGATGGAGAGAAACACACAGGCATTGCACGGTGATATGCTTGCTATATTGAGAGAAGTACAAGCCGAGAAAAAAGACGTAGCCGCGATTCTTCATGAAGTTCAGGCAGAGAAAAAAACATCAACCAAAGTGAAAATAGACAATCACAAAACTAAAGCCAAAAAGGAATGCCATAAAAATTGCTGATAGCTTTTTTTGTCCTGGGTTTTTCTCATTAAATAGTACAAGGTAGTCGAACTATAGTAATTGTTCTTGTTTCTGATAATGTGCTTGAAGCACGGTATTTTGTAAAGTAAATATTAAAACTGATATGTATATGAGACTTTTATGCTTAAGAAATTTGTTTAAGACACTATGTGTTTT